GGCACCCCCGCGCCCCGCCGCGCCGCTGCCCCTTCTCGCCTATCTGCTGGCGCTGGCTGCGCCCGGCCAGGGCGCGGGCGAGACCGTGTGGCGGTCGGAGCAAGTCATCGGAGCCATCGCAGCGAGCCGGGCGGACGGCGTTTTCGTGGCGAGCGGCAGCTGCCTGGACCAGCTGGACTACAGCCTGGAGCACAGGCTTTCGCGCCTGTACCGGGACCAAGCGGGCAACTGCACCGAGCCGGTCTCGCTGGCGCCCCCCGCGCGGCCCCGGCCGGGGAGCAGCTTCAGCAAGCTGCTGCTGCCCTACCGCGAGGGGGCGGCCCACCTCGAGCGGCTGCTGCTCACCGGGTGGACCTTCGACAGGGGCGCCTGTGAGGTGCGCCGCCTGAGCAACCTGAGCCTCGGGGCCCTGCGCAACGGCACCGAGGTGGTGTCCTGTCACCCGCAGGGCTCGACGGCCGGGGTGGTGTACCGCTTGGACTCCAAGAACCGCTGGTACTTGGCCGTAGCCGCCACCTACGTGCTGCCGGAGCCCGAGACCGCGAACCGCTGCAACCCCGCGGCGTCCGACCGCGCCACGGCCATCGCGCTCAAGGACACGGAGGGGCGCAGCCTGGCCACCACGGAGCTGGGCCGCCTCAAGCTGCGCGAGGGCGGGGGCAGCCTGCACTTCGTGGACGCCTTTCTGTGGAACGGCAGCGTCTATTTCCCCTACTACCCCTACAATTACACGAGCGGCGCCGCCACGGGCTGGCCCAGCATGGCGCGCATCGCGCAGAGCTACGAGGTGCTGTTCCAGGGCCAGGCAGCCCTAGACTGCGGCCACGGCCACCCCGACGGCCGCCGCCTGCTCCTCTCCTCCAGCCTGGTGGAGGCCCTGGACGTCTGGGCGGGAGTATTCAGCGCGGCCACCGGGGAGGACCAGGAGGGGCGCTCCCAGGCCACCACCGCGCTCTGCCTCTTCAGGATGAGTGAGATCCAGGCGCGCGCCAAGAGCTGCAGCTGGGACTTCGAGTCGGCCGGGTCCAACTGCGTAAGTCCTGCCTCCGGGACTCTGCATGGAGCGCTCCTGCTGGGGAGCCGCCGCCCAGGCAGAGCGGGAGGGGGAAGGGGGTGGCACTGACCAGGCCAGGCCACACACCCCCGACGGCCATTCTCACCCCATCTCGCGGACCTCGGGCTAGTCTGCTGCACAGCCCGTGGGTCCCACAGGGAGTAGAAGGAGAGAGGAGGAGGGGGTAGGAGTTAAGCTCAAAACTCTGGTGACTGCATCCCAGGGCCAGCGTTCTTGTTCAAACGTGAACGCTGGCTTGGAGCCGAGCCTCTCCACGAGCCTCTCCACGAGCC